TTTTATGGGCACAAAACATCCTGCTGGACAATTTTCTTCATGCCAATGCCTGATTTGGTATTTTTCACTTCTTTAGTCATTTTTAGAAAAAAATTGTCTCAAACATTCATAGAAAATATAGGGCAACCTGTTAATCTACCCAAAGTTTTTAGAAAGAGGCCCTTATTTGGCCTTGACAATGCTCTTATGTGGCTTTGACAAAGCCCAATCAAGAAAGCCATCAATGTGTACCGAGAGTATTAATGACAATGTTAATACTCTGATATTTGCTGCTGATAAAATCAGTTTCTCTAAAATCTAATACAAAATTTGTAAAGTTTTACTACTAGCTACCTTAGAACTGTTAAACTAAGGTTTAATGTTGTACCTAGAGAAAACAAAAAGATGTTAGGTCTCTCTTCAGAGAAAACAAAAAAAAAAATTAACAAAGAGGCAAAAAAATCTTAATTAAGATTAAGATGAACTCAGAATCTATCTAGTGTTCATCATCCTTGTAAAAAAATGTAACACAAATTTATATCTATACCAGCCTATTTAATGAAAAGGGGTAAGATGTAAAAGGCCTATTTAATGAAAAGGGGCAAGGTATAAGGTGCTAGTAAATGATATTTCTTACTTACACCTAGTCTATATCTGCTTTTAAAGGTTTTTTGTTTTTCATTTATCCAAGATAAGTATTTTTTATTGAGGTATATCTTAAAGATCCCCAAGAGCATTTTAAGTCAGAGTTCAACTAGCTTTTGTCTAAGAAAACAGAATAACAATGCATGTGGCAATGTTAGCATGTCACCAGTAGCAGAGTGAATCCAATCTGACCCTAATGCCAAGTTGTCCTGTCCTTAACCTGACCTGATTTAACATTTATTCTTTTGCATTTGTTATCATCTTTTGCCTTTTCCATTGAGTTTGCAATTGATTTTTTTTTGTGTATAGTGTAATGGTGTTTTAAAAAAAAACGATTATTAGTATTAGTATTAGTTTATGCTGTGACTGGTATTGCTACCAGTGAGTGTGGTTTTAAAGCACACATGACAGATGAGTCTTGTGATAGTTTGACTCCCATTGATCAAGTCTTGCTTTAAATGAGTTGACTGAATTAGCTTTAACAATATTTTCTGGCAGTGCATTCCAATAATTTGCAGCTCGATTTAGTAAAATATTTTCTTTATAATTATGTACAGAAAAATTCTTTAGAATACTTTAGGTTATGGCCACGAGTACAATTAGATTTGAAGGACTTATTTTCAATTGAATTATGTCACCACGTTGTCTTCTTTTAACTAGTGAGGGTATTCTAAGACAAACTAGTCGATCTTCATAGCATAATTTATTGGTTGAAGTTACCAATTTAGTGGCATGGCGCTGTATTCTTTCCAAAATCTCAATATATCGTTTTTGATAAGGAGCCCAAACTGGTACAGCAAACTCTAGAAGTGGTCGAACAAAGGAAAGATATAGAGATTTTAGCAGTTCTGCATCAAATTGAACAAAAGATTTTTTTATTATACCTAATATGCGGTAAGCTTTGCTTGCACTCGATAAGACTTGAATTTTCCACTACAAGTTATCTGAAAAAATCACTCCTAGGTCTCTTTCTGAATCTGATATGTTGAGTTTACAACCATTTATATAAATTGGGTATTTCTTATTTTTATAGCCATGTGCATAACTAAACATTTGTCAATATTAAAGTTAAGCAACCAATCTTGTGTCTAAGCATAGGCAAAGTTCAAATCACATTGTAGTTTATTATGTAACTGATCAAAAGGACTAATCGACATGATTTTTGTGTCATCAGCATATAATTTTGAAATATTTTTTTGAGACTCAGGAAGATCATTTATATAAAGTATAAAAAGTATTGGACCCAATACAGATCCTTGAGGAACTCCACTATACACATTAGCTAAAGTTTAGGCATAATCTCCCATAATAATTCTTTGCTTTCTATTAGATAAGAAAACTTGAAACCAATGAAGTGCCAAGCCACTAACACCATACGCTTCAAGTTTTAAGATGAGCCTTTGATGTGGTACAGTATCAAATGCTTTTTTAAAGTCAAGTAAAACTACATCTAGAGGAATTCCTTGATCCACATTTCTTGTAATATAATCTAGTTTCAAGTAAATTTGTACTACATGATCTATTTTTAACAAATCCATGCTGTTGATTAGCTATAATATTATTTTCATAAAGATATTTTTCAAACTTATTTTTAATTATGCATTGTAGTATTTTAAAAGTAACACATGGAAATGATATAGGTCTATAATTTTTGGAATCACTCTTGTCGCCTTTTTTATATAGTGCAGTTGTATTTGCTGAATTAAATTGATTTGGAAATTGACTTTTTTCTATTGACTTCATAAAAATTAGTGTTAGAGGAAGAGCGAAAGCAGTAGCACAATTTTTTAAGATAGATGGATGTAACTTGTTGGCTCCGTAGGCTTTGTTTTGATCAAGATTATTTAGTCTTTCAAGAACTTCATATTGGATATCTTCAGGAGTTAAATTAAAGGTAGTATCATTGATTCTTGTTTTGAATAATGGAGTGCATTTTTTATTTTCTTTGACAAAAACGTTTTGAAAATTTATATTTAGAAGATCAGCAATCTTTTCTGGATCCTGGGTTTGTTTCACCGTTTGGTTGTCGCAGAGCTTTTCTATAGTCTTTTACATATTGTTGTGAATTCATATATTTATATAATACTTTTGGGTTCTTTTTAGCTTTTTCCACAATCATTGATTCGTGTTTTCGTCTTGAAATGGAAATTTCAAATGGCACTCTTTTTGATAATTGTTTATATATTGGTTACAAAGATTTGAATTTTTCCATTTACTATAACAATTTCTGTGTCTTAAATTCTGTTTTTCTCTAATGAGTGAGATAAGTTCTTTATTCAGGTATAGTTTCTTTGATGATGAACTTGAGGTATTTATAGGAACATATAAGTTACACGCTTCTTCAATATAATGAATTCTCATCATACATTTCTTGAACATTCTTGGTATGAAAGTCTGCTTTTCTATATAAAATTTTTTTTTTACTTATGATTTTTATTCATTGTTTTATTTTTAAGAATAAAATCAAAACACAATATCAAATGACCCCAAATGATTATAGAAGATTTTTATTTAAAAACAATGAATATGTTGAATTTAATGTTAAAGAATTACTTATGAAGAAGATATATAAATAAGTTTCAAAAACTTACATTATACATGAAATAAATTTTATAATTTTAGCTATTGTAAACAATATTTTTATTTAAGTCAAATAAATTATAAAAATAGATCAATAATAAAAAGAATCAATAAAGTTTATCAAAATAAAATGTTCTTTGTGTGAAAAAATTAGTAAAGATCATTCAATAGAAATTCAATTAATGAATCTGGACATTCATTTAATCAATATACAAGGCCATTTATTCAATTAGTTAAAAAGGCCATTCAATTAATTAACAAGACCATTCATACTAGCAATAAACAAGGTAATTTATTTCATCAATAAAAATGATTGTTCATTCAATCATTAACTAGGATCATTCATTCATTTAATGAACAAAGCTGTTCTTACTAATGATTAAATGAAACTATTCATTCAAATTAATAAGCAAACAAAACAAGGTTAATTTAAAACTATGTCATTTAAAAGTTAGCTAAAACTTATGTTTTCTATTTATCTGTTTGCTTGCTAAGAGTTTTTTCAGCATGACTATTTCATAATTTTATAGCTTTTGTAGCTTTTTTAATTAAGTTGAAAAAAAGTTTTTTTTCAAGCAATCAAAGTATTAAAGTTTGATTTTGTGATGCAAATATGATTTTTGCTGTACTGTTACTTAATATAATAACAACAGTCATAACAAGGTTTGATATAAGTTGTGTTTAAACCCAATGATGTCATCCCAAACCTAATGCTAGCTCTTCATATAATACAAGTCACCCTCCTTATGTATTTTAATGTATTGATTTTTTTTAAATTTGTTTCTATATTTTAGATTGTTAAAGTTCTTAAAGTAATAAGAGAAACTTTTTTTAAGACTTTTTTACTGGATTCATCTATATCAGTAAAAATATTTCTTCTTTAAGGATATGTTAACCTGGGTCTCAAAGGGAAAAACCAAATTGGTTTTCAAAAGCAAAAATATATATACGTATAGATGATATCATACACGTATAGATGACTTGATATATACACGTATAGATGACTTGAAATTATTCAATGTTCTAAAAGACTTAAAATCAGCAGTTTAAATTTTGGTAAGTAACTCCTAAAACATTTGGGGAGAATCTAAGTTCTGGTAACTTCGAAAACATTTAGGGAGAGTTTAAGTTCTGGTAAGTTATACTAAAAGCATATGTGAAAATGTAAGTTTATGTAAGTTACACCCAAAACATTTAATATAAATAGGTTTTGACAAGTTGCACCTAAAACATTCAGTAAAAATGTGAATTTCGGTAATTCATATTTTTACTAAATGTGAAAAGTAATAAAGTTAAACTTAATGCGGTATGTGAAAATGTTACATTGTTAAAATAATATTTTTTTGATAGGAATTATTGAACAAAAGATAAATTATATTGTATATTTGAGAATGTCATATCATAATGAAAATAAAAAATGGCAATACACAACAATAAAAATACTATACATAATTGGCTGGATATAAAAATATGATATGCAAAGGTTCTGTAATATCCAGTAAATGTCTGAAGATAACTATCAAATTCATGTTATGTTCATTGAAAAAAAGTAGAACATAAATTTGTTCTTAAAAATATAATAACATCTTTTCTTAATATATCTTTAAATAAATTTACTATTAATAATTTTTTAATAATTCGTAAAGTAAATAATGATAAATTTTAAAGTTATATTAAAATTGTTATAAATAAAAATTAACAGTAATAATATTATCAAAGAAATAAAAATATTTTTTTTTTTTAATTTACTGTAATTTATTAACTATTATAATTTCTTAAATTAAACTTTATTTTAGGTTCTCGCAAATATACAAAAGCTAAATATTTTAACCCTTTTAAAGTTTGTTATAAACATTATATGTTATCCAGCAATCATTTTAAATCTAAAACAGATTCTATTCATGGATCACTTGTAACAATGCCCTCAGAGTTAGATGGTGTTGTTTTGAAACCAGCATTAAAGTTTAACTCAATGTATGATAACAATTTAAAATTAACCGAACCCCCTGATTTCATAGATGACTTTATTATTGAAAGTGATAATGAAGATTATGAACAAGGTAACTAAATATTGTTAATAAAATCTTTGAGAATCATTTGTGAGAAAAATTTATATATTTAATATATATTTATATATAAGATGGATCTTTTGGAAGAAATAATTCACAGTAGCATCATTAGTAAAAATTAATGGTGCAACACAAAAATATATTCACATGTTTGAAATTAATAAAAAATAATATGCAAAAGCCAAACATTTCAATAAAAAAATTTTTCACTGACATTAATCAATTTAAAAATTCAAAATAATAATAATAATAAAAACAAAATAAAAATAAACTAAAAAGATTATTTAAAATAATACTAAGTTTCACCTGTGTTGCGTGAAAATTAGCAAAATAAAAATAAATAACAAAAAATAAAGCATGTATATGTTGTATATAATGAATATGTATAAATAAAAGCAAACATTATAACAACCTGTTAAATTAATATAAACAAAAGCAAACGTTACAATAACATGTTAAACCAATAAAAATAAAGATAAACATATCAATAATCTGTTAAACCATTAAAAAAAAAAAAAACTAAACATATCAATAATCTGTTGAACCATTAAAAAAAACTCTATCAATAACCATTAAGTTGACTTTAAAGTTTTGAAATTTCAAAATATTAAATTCAGAACTAAACTAAAAATTGTTAATAGTGGTTTTTGTTTATTGTAACGTAGGGCTTGCATCCAAGGTGTGTCGGTCAAATAGTTTAGCAATAAAGTTAAGTCAACGACCAAGTCTAAGTGAGTTAGAAGATAAAAATATCATTCCAAGTAAGTAGCTCTTTTGCTTCTCTAAAATTATTCAAAGTAATTGAAAAAAGTTTACTTATTTTTATAAAAAGGTTTTCAGAAAAAGTTTTTGCTTTTTCTATTTGTGAAATTGCTTTTTCTATTTGTGAAATTGCTTTTTCTATTTGTGAAATTTCTTTTTCTATTTGTGAAATTGCTTTTTCTATTTGTGTTTAAGAGCTAAAATAGAGAGGGTTGTAATAAAATAGAGAGAGGGGCAAAAAAATAGAGAGGGGTATAATAAAATAGAGAGAGGTGCTATAAAAAGACAGGCCTTAGAGCCTTGTTCTTTAAAAGTGATGGAATGCTTTGCAAAAAATAAAAATATAGATTTTTTTGATTTTTAGAAAAACTGTATATTAGCACAAAAAATTGTTTATATTATGATACTGTTAGTTTTATGTTATACTTTTATATGTAAGTTTTGCATATTCCGATTTTACAATGTAAAATTGGAATATGCAAATATTAAATTTTTACAATAAAAATCTGTGCAGTGAGTCACTTTTTGCGGTTGTTGTTTTTTAATTTCAGTGCTAGGAGATAAAAATACTATATATTTGCTTTATCAAATTATGATTATAAAAATTTATTACAGATTTAAAATATTATTGAGACTCAAGTTTTATGCGAGTTTATGCTATTAAAATGGTTTTGATTTAAATGGAGTTTAAATTGGTTTATGGAATACATTTTTACAGAATCTTATCTTGATCATTTTGAAGTATTTTTTTCTATTTTTGTAATTTTCTGTGAGAATAATCATGTAAAAGTTAAAAGTAAAAGTTCATTTTTCAATTAACACAACTTGTGTTGCAATCAACATAACTTGTGTTGCAATCAACATAACTTGTGTTGCAATCAACATAACTTTTGTTGGACATTTTTTGCAGAGTGTTTTTTGCTGTAGTTTGGTATCAAATCACTCTAGCATATATCAGAGTATCAGAGAAAATTTTTGTTGTTTTTTTAAAATATTTTCTATAATCTAGGATAAATCTAGGAACATAATATTTATTTGATTGGTTAGATTTGAAGTTGTTGCATTTGTCCTTGATTTTGTTGCATTTGTCCTTGATTTTGTTGCTGTCTGTGAACATGTGGAAAACAAATGCACTGTTTAAGGCAATTCAGGAAAACAATTTTATTATTTTTATGGTGTTCCAAGGATTGTAGCAATATATGACTATCACAATTATCTTATATTAATAAAACAGGTTTTTGTTGAAAAAAGTATATTAGAAGTTTAATAAGTACTTCAGATGTTCAAAGTATATTAGAAGTTTCAGAAGCACTTCAGTTGTTCAAATTTTTTATACCCAGTTTAATTTTAGTACAGTAGCAGTAATTAACAATAGTGATTTCATTAGTATCTCTCAAAACATTACGTTCAACATTGATAACAGTGTTTTCATTAGTATTTCTCAACACATTACATTTAACATTGATAATATTGATTTCATCAGTATCTCATATTACATTTAACAATGATAATAGTGATTTTATCAGTATCCCCTAAAACATTGCATTTAACATAATAGTGATTTTATTAGCATCTCTCTAAACATTACATTTAACATTAATAATGGTGATTTCATTAGTATCCCTCAAAACATGTGTCATTAGTATTACATAAAATGCTATCTATATTTTTACCTCTCGTTGAATAGATTTAGTGTACGCCATCTGTAATCAAAGTTCTCTAACTTTGGATAATGGTCTTTGTTAAAATTTACTTCATTATAAAAGTTAATGATTAAATTAGTATGAACTTTAATAAATTGAATAATATTTAAATACTAAATTAATAGTTCAAGTTTGATTTGATTACCATTAAATTCAACTTTGACCGCTAGCCTTTAAGTTTGTTTTTAAGAAACCCATTTTCAGTGAGGTTAAGTGGCTGGTAAGAGTTCATCTTATCTTTAGGTACATTAACAATAAGGATAATGATTTTTCAGTATTTTTGACAATAAATTTATTTATATCGCTTTTAAAAACTTTAATTAACTTTTTTATTGTTTATGTAAAGAATTATTATTTTATCAAGAATTTTTTGTTGATTGAAAAATGGATTTAATTAATATTTTTGAATACTCCAGGGTTGTTTTTTGAATACTTCAGGGTTGTTTTTTTTTTTTTTTGTTATTGTTAATGCAGTAGTAGTTGCATTAACAACACTTAAATTAATTACGTGGTTACTTTAAGCAATCAAAAATCTTTGTACCATCTCCAAGCAACAAAAGTTGTCTGCTGCATGACAAATATTTCTCAAGTGTTTCTCTTTTTTTTAAAGTTTTTTTTTTTAAATAACTGCATTATCATCAAATATCTTCCCTGTTGGTTCTATTTCAGAGTATGTTGGCAGATCAAAAAAATAAATGAGTTGTAAAGAAAGTGAATGTTTTGAAAAGTCATCTCAAAAGTAAAAAGCATTATCTCTAGTTTTTGTATTTTACTATTTTTCAAAATCAATTGTATCATGTACGATAGTTCAGACTTCAAACTTGGCATAATGATTTAAAATACTTTTTTTTTTTTTTTAATTACTCATAATAACTGAAATTGGTTTCAAACTTATAAAAAGCATAAAAGTAATTTAATGAAGGATAAAATATGTAAAAAAGAAAATATACAATATATTAAGATATTTTATTTTAATATATTGTAGATTTTGTTAACACTAAAGTATACTATACATTCCTGTATTTAGAAATATATTAAATGTTGGGAACAAAATAATAGTGTTTAGCAAAATAGTTATTTATAATAATAAAGCTGAATAAGGAAATTATAACCCTGGTAGCATTCTCAATGTTAATAATGAATGGTAGCATTCTGAGCTACATCATTGGTAGCATTGCTCAAATTTAGATCTGTTTTCTTAAAAAACATACAGTTGTTTGCTGCCGTTTTATTTGCATTAGCTTTTTGTTTATTAGACTTTATTGACATTTGTCAAAGGTAAGATTAATATTAGTGTCAATTCAATGAAATATTCTTAGTAATTGAGAAATTTTATTTGATTTAAACAGAAATCAAAAAGTTGATAAATTAAGGAGAAAAAGATAAACAACTAAGCATACAGATTAATATGCTGCTTTTGCTAATCTTTTGGTGTCCTCCTGTCAAATTAAAGGTGATTTAAATTTAAGAGTTTCTAACAGAACAGTACGTAATCAGTTATTAGAATGTAATTTATATCCCCGAAGTCCAAAAAAAGTTGTGTTGATGCAAGTAAGCCTTTTGAAAATGTTCATGAAGATTGGCTTGCTTCAAAATGGCTAAATGTTTTGTGGTATAATGAAAGCAATATTATAGTATACGTAAGAAGGCTAATTAACTCTGGCTACAAACCACTATGCACTATAAAAACTGTTAAACATGGTGGAATAAAAATAAATATTTAAGGTTGTTTTTTCTATTATGACATTGGCTCCATCTATAATATTGATGGAATTATGGATCAACATATTTATCTGGAAATTTTTACAAAACACCATGTTGCCTTATGCAGAAGAAGATATGCTGCTAAAATGGGTCTTCACGCAATATAATGATTTAAAAAATACCAGCTATAGGGTCAAAATCTGGTTTGTGAAGGTGAGGATTGAAGTTATAGATTGGCCTGCACAGTCACTAGATCTCAAACCTCATTGAAAACCTTTGGACCATTGTTAAAGAACCAGTTTCTAAAGAAAAACCATGAAATCAACACAAATTATGGAGTGTTGTTCAGAATCTAATCAAATCATTGTCAAGATCTAATCAACTCCATGCCAAATCAATACAAATCTGTGATTCAAAATCAAGACTAAAATTTAGAGGTTCTAAATCATGTGAATAAATAATTTTTTAATATTATTTTGTTTCTTGTATTTATTTTACAAACCTCATAATTTGTTACTTTTATTTATTTTACAAACCTCAACACACATGTTTCAAACTGAGAAGTCAGTAAAATTTGTAGATGATTCTAATTTTTTTTTTTTTTTTTGATTGAGGTTGGCAATAACTTGCTGACCTCAATCTTTTTGAGGTCGGCATAAGGTTGGCAAAAATTACTTGATACAAAAGTCTGACCATAAAACATAGAAACCAGGTCTGTAATTTTTTGCTGACCTCAAGTACTTTTCAGTCGGCAGTTAGGTTGGCATTGCCGATCCTAATTTCGAGGGTTGTATATATATATATATATATATATATATATATATATATATATATATATATATATATATATATATATATATATATATATATATATATATATATATATATATATATATATATATATATATATATATATATATATATATATATATATATATGTATATATATACATATATACATATATGTATGTTAAGGTTTGTAAAATAAATACAAGTAACAAATTATATTGTATTATATTATAGTGTATTGTGCCCTTTTTTTTGCATTTGAACAGATTTTATATTTGCCATAATTTGTGGTAGTGGTGTAGTGGTAGAGTGCTTGCTTCATAATTGAGATACCACTACCATCAGAGACACAGTATTACCACATCCCTGGTAGAACCATGCTTAAGTTGTTTATCTGTGCAGCAACCTTGTTCATCAATAGTTGTATTTACTAGTTTAAGAGTTGATAGAGGGTTGTAACCTCAGTATAGTAGCCCTATCGACTGTAATGGCTCTCTTGGCCTTGGGGAGGTGAATAAAGTAAAAAAAATAGCATCTGCATTATTTTGATTATAATTTAGTTATTATTTTGATTTTGAGTGCATGCAAAATAAAAAAAAAAATTTAGCTTTAAGGTTCATTAGAGCAAAATAATATCAAGATTTCTAATAGTTGTTTAAACTAATATCATATCCCATCAGATTTTGTTACTTACCAACCAAGCAAGAATTTACTGCTAAATAATCAAAAAGTTAAAAATCTCTAATGGGCCAAGAACTAACATCATTTGATTGCTGTTCGGGGCAAATCAAGTTGAATAACATTCTATTGCACATATTTTATTGGATTGTTACTTTTTGCTCATATTTTCTTTTATACAGCCTAGATCTTTAAGATTAGTTTTAATTTGAGGTACTAACTCAATAGCAATATTTTTAGCTGTTATATGCTCCTTTACAGGGAGCATGTAAAAGCTTTTAAAAAAGTTAAAAAATTTCCATTCTTACATTTTTTAGTTTTTTTAAGACCCCTCCTTCCCCAGCTTATTAAGACCATCCTATATGTCCCCCGTTTATTAATTTTGAAAGGTAAAATAGTTTAGCAGTTTTTCTATTGTAAGAAACCTTTTTTTTTCTTTACTCCAAAGTGTTAAACAAAAAACTATTTTATTAATAAATGCATTACATAAAAATGTCAAAGTCTCTTCATCATAGATAAAAAAATTTTGAAAACATTTTTTTTAAGTATTTTTTTTTTTTTTTAAGAATTTTTTTCAGAATAGAATTCTTTAATGAGTTGTTTTTCCATTAGTGTTCTTGATTACTTTTAGTTAATGTGGTTAGTTAATGTTGGTTTTATGTGCTGAAGCCATTAAATTGTCGAAAAAGTTTGTTCATGGAAAGAAAGATAAACATTGTTTAGTTGTTTTCATGTTTTTAGAAGTTTGTAGTTTTTTTTAAGTTCCAATCTGGATGTGGAGTCCCTATTTTTGCCTGCAGTCTTGGGAGTCCATGAAGATATTAAGACTCCAGGACTCAAGTTTTTTTTTTTTAAGTTCACAAGGTGCTCTCAGAGAAACAGTCTTGTCACAGAACACCATGGAAGAGCATCTTTCAATTTTTAAGATTTTCTTTATTATCATAGCAAACATTGGCTGGCGTTCTGTGTGTCACAGTTCATTTTAGAATTAAGTTCTACATAAGAAAATTTTTATTCACTGGTGGAAAGTTCTATTTAGCATTCTTTTAGTTTCTTTACTTTTGATGAAAAAAGAATTGAAACCGGCGTGAATTTTCTTAATGAGTGATAACATAAACAATGTTTTCTGAACAAGGAGTATTTTATTATGTTTTCTGAACCAGGAGTATATTCTTATGTTTTCTGAACCAGGAGTTACATTATATGGCAAATTGTGTCTCATGTCATTGGTTTTCAGTCTGTTCTTTTAATGCCAAAAATTTTTTTTTTTAATGCATAATGAAAAATTGCTGTAACAGTTTAGATACACGAAGCTGTTTGACAGCATCCATAAAGTATGTACGCAGTAAAGCGACTGATTTAAGACCCTCTCCTTCCCTAATGTATGCACATGTATGCTTATAATGACTCCCCCCATCCTCATGTGTGTGCAAGCATTAACATGCAAAATCACTCACTCCTCTCCAACCTAAAACTTTTCAAAACATTTAAAAATATAATAACTTATACTTAATTTGACATTTCTCTGTTAAATAACATAATATTAATTTTTGAAACTCAGGAAATGCAATGCTTTTGTTAAAAAATAAATAACTTAAAAAGAAATCAAATTTTAAGAGAGATAGAGAACAAGAGATTGTCAAACTGCGTACGTACTTACTGTTTTTAATACCTACTCCCATTTTACACATTTGTAATTGTAAACCTTTTACACATTTGTAATTGTAAACCTTTCCCCTCTCCCATACTTTATTATGTTCTTAATGGAAGACCTCTTTCTTATCTGACAAGCCAAAAAAATTTCTAAGAGCACGACAAAAATCTTGACTTGAACAAAACAAGTTAATAAAAATAAAATCTATTTTTAAGATTGCATTATAAAATTAAACTAACAAGCTAGAAAAGCACAAAAGTAGCTCACAACCCATAAAAATCTTATAAAAATACTTCAAAAAACAAACAAAAATTGCTTGCAAGACAATTTTTTTAATGAGGGACTTACCTTTAATGGGTGTCTTTAATAAATAACAATATAAATGTATTTGACAAGTGTGGTGAGCAACATCTTCTTAATGTGCATTAAATATGTTGTTGAAATCAAAATTTGTTATCTATTAAATTTAAGATATTAGAGGTTATAATTGGAAACACTTTACAGCATTCTGTTTTAAATTCAAGATATTAGAGGTTATAATTGGAAACACTTCACAGCATTCTGTTTTAAATTCAAGATATTAGAGGTTATAATTGGAAACACTTCACAGCATTCTGTTTTAAATTCAAGATATTAGAGGTTATAATTGGAAACACTTCACAGCATTCTGTTTTAAATTCAAGATATTAGAGGTTATAATTGGAAACACTTTACAGCATTCTGTTTTAACAATGTTTCCAATTGAGTCATGATAATGATTTCTACAACTTTTTTGTTGGGTTATTATACAAAAGCAATTTTCAAAAGCGTATATAAATAAGCAAGTACTAATGTCTACAATAACTTGCATCTATAACTGTCTTATTTTACATTATTATTCAGCTGCATTTATTTGCATTTACCACAATTAGAGCAAGTTACCAAATATGTTGCCGTAACTTTATTCCATTCTTCAATCTCTTTCATCTGTCAGTATGTCTTAAAAACCTAAAAGTTAAAGCTTAGATAATCAATGTTTATATAGAAATACACATTTATGTAAAATTTTAATGTAAGTTCAATAAGAATAAAAAAAAAACATTAAATACATTAAATAGAATTGAATAGCATCAGAAATCAACAGGTTAAAAATAAATTTTTATTAGAGTACGTTATGTTAAGTTTAAAAATCTCAGTTAAAAAAACTTTAAAAAAATGCAAAATAGTTTAGTTTTTCTTAAAGAATTTCTAAAAAATATTATTTTTGAACAAAAGTGTATGCAAATATGTAACATACGTAAACTTCAAATTATGTAATGTTAAAACATACTAAAACAAACTCATATCAAGTTTTACAGCTTTACTTTCGCCTAAAAATTACATTGCATCAACCTCTCCTTAATTTTTGATCTACAGCATTAATTTAGTTAGAAAAAATTTTTATGTAGTTTTAAAATATCAATCGTCAACATGCCAGCATGGCCAAGTGGTTAGCACGCTGAGCTTCAGAGAAAAAAGCCGTGGTTCGAGTCCAACTACTGGCATCCTTTTTTTTTTCAATTTTTTTAGATTTTTAAAATACAAAATATTTGTGAAGTTTTATAAAGATTATATACAAAGATATCTAACAATATTATACACTTTAACAAACAAAAAGATTTTTAAAAAAGCTAAAAATTCTAAAAACATTAAAAACAAGGGGATATTTATTGTGTATGTGTCATGATTGAGATACTTATGTTATTTTAATTTTACAATATAAGTTTTTTTACAACTAAGTTGAGTTTGTGTAAGAAAAATGAGTATACAACATGTTTATAAATAGAATATAAAATCTAAAGAACTGTAAAATTGTTTTGTTTTGCATTTTAAATAACAAAAATTAAAAAATAAAGCAAGCTAATGATTTGGACTTGCCACGCGGCGACCTCAACTTTTTTTAAACAGTAAGGGGGTTTAAAAAGTATGTTTTATATAAGAACATAATTAAAAATTCTAATTTTATACTTAGATTAAACCATTTTATAAAATTAAATATTTTTAAAAATAATTAAAAGTTAAAGTTATTTAATATTGATACAATAAGGGAATTTAGAGTTTTACAGCTATTTGACTACGCCCCCATTAAACATTCTAAACCAAGTGCAACAATGACAGAATTTAAATAAGCATCAAAATAGTATTATACTCCATTATTTTTTGGCATTATATACCTTTTGGCTGATCCCTAATCTAATATTTTAAATAAGAGATCATCCATAAATTACGCAACGCTAAATTTTACTAATGAACAAAACAAAAAAAAATCAATTTTTCCATGCAGAGTCATATGTTAGATCAAAAATCAAAATAGCTCATCAAGTTTAATGAAAATCGCCACCTAAAAGAACTAAAGATCTCCTACTTTTTTTTTATATATAAATTTAGCATTGCGTAATTTATGGACGATCCCTTAGCATTTTATAGTCTGTAGTTTTTAATGGTCTAAGATCTTCTTAGTTCTGCTATTTGTATAGCGTTGCGTGCAAACTGTAAGTGTAAACGTCTTTAGCATATGTTGAGTTTGCAGGCCGTATATGGAACAATTGTGTATAATAAATCTATAAAAATTAGAAAACTTTTGAATTTTATTTTAACAATTAGAAATTTTTTTGCTGTGCAATTATTTTTTTGCTATAATTATTATAGATATATACTATAATACAAATTTTGCTATAAATATTGCTACAAGCACAGCAAGGTTGAAAAATATTCAAAATTTATTAAGCTTGATCTTTAATCTCCCAAAACGACACTGATGACAGCACACTAAACCGCTGAGCTATCAATGATATGCGTTTAGGAGAAAAACAAACCTAATTATAAATCTCTTATAAGCTCTAAGTATGCTGAAAGGGTGCGCACGTTAATTTTTTTGCTCTTGAAGTAATTTTTTTAAATCATCGGTATAGAAATGAATGGTGTGGAATAGATAAGTATTGAAATAGTAGGTTTGGTAAAGACCCGTAGTTTATGGGTCTAGAAAGCTAGGATATATATATAAAAGGAAAAAGTATAGAAAAAGTGTAGAATAGATTAGATAGAATAGATACAAAGTATTTTTATAAGTCAGATCAAATTTAAAATAACTTTTTTACAAATTACCTGGATGAACATCTGTTTTTTATAAATAATATTTAAAACATAATAATTTGTGAGAGTCTTTTAAAAGCAAATTTGTTTGTTTTTTTTTGCGTTGAGTTAGTTCACCCCTTGTATATAAAAATATGTATATAGGTCAGTACTGTCTTAATGTATTTTGCCCTCTCAAAATGATAGATATTTAATCCAGATGTTCTTTTTCTAAAGTTACTTCGCAAGATGAAAAAGATTCAATAAGGGATAAAGTCGGTAACAAGCTAACGAGGTATGCAAATTTTACACTATTATTTTAAAAGTGTTTTTGTGTTCGTGTTGATGATTTCATGTTTTGTGTTAAGATGTAGTTTTCATGGTTTTTAAAAAAAAGGTAAAAGCTGTACTTGTGTTGCTACAAGTGAAATCACTCATATAATTCCTAAAAGTTCATGCTTCAAGTTTAAAGTTCAAGCATAATATTGAAATATTTTGTTTTACAGTAGAATCCTGTTTACTCAGACCCTGGATAAGTTGGACAAATTTTCAATTCCCTTGAACTTTTTTATCAACTTACTATAAAATAATCTGCTTTAGTCCTACCCTGGTTAAGTTGGACCATTTGCTAACTCATGCTGTTTTTTTCCAAAAAACAGCATGAGTTAGCGAATGTTGTTCTGTGTTTGTTTTTTTCGCTCAGACAAAAAATTTTTTTCTCATTTAATAAAAACTGGCTCTTCTGGTTATTGATTGACTGGTTAAGTTTTTTCAGGAAAAATGCTGAAGAGTTTTATGTAAATCCTTATCAAGTAGTCAAAGTCGTTTTATATTTGACATGATGAAAATGGATTATTTAGACTAAAATTTTTTGTGACTAATTTTTTCAATAGTGCAATTGCCATTTTTTTCCCAGCATAGATGTTACAAGCCGTTCAAGGAGTTTGAAGAATGACTCCAGGTTTTAGAAAATGAATGACATGTGGAATACCATAATCTTGTCATCACACATCATCTTGCATTAGTATATCAAATTTTTTCTTTTGCAAGCACTTGAAATTGAAAGCACTTGAAATTTTTAATGAAACAATAAAGTCATATGAAGACTTATTTTAATAAAAAAACTATTTAAAACTTTCATTTGATTTAGTTCTGTTTTTTTTTTAATAGTTAGCCAGGCATCTTGAAGTCTTCCAAATAACTTGTTCTTTGGTCCAACAATGTTGCTTAGCAACTGTTTCTAAACAAATGTGGTGTTAATAAGCTAGATTAAAAAGTTTGCAGCCCAAGGTTTCTTCAATTAGTTTATCAGCACAATTGTGGATGCAGCTGTTGCTAGTATATAACAACAATGTTATCTCTCAAATTCCAAACTTTTAAGAGATCTGATTTGACTTCAACTTGTGTTCTATCCTTAGATAGAACCGGTGAGATTTAAAACACTAGGTAACTTTTCTTTACTGTATTCTGGTTGCATTAGAAACAAGAACAGTTAGTTGTTCACTGCAGGAATTAAAAGTATCTTACAATAATTTATCGTCCCAATAAAAAGCACCAAATAATGGAAGATTCAGTGTTGTCTTTGTCATTCTTAGCACTCCTTTAGCAGTTCAGCATTAACAAAATTTGATAAGATTTTGATCTGAGTATTCGTCTGACAGAATCGCAAAATCTCTGTGTAACAGTGGCTTCATTGAAGCACAGAGTTTTTGAGAGATCACAGTAATAACTAGAAGATTGGTGAGCTGTCTTGACTATTTGTAGATCTTAGCAGTGTCTTAATTAGAGAGTGATATATTCAGTTTATTTGTTTATAGAAGACTCATAGTTGTTTTTAAATTTAATCTTGGCATGATCAGATCTTTCTTTAACTGATAATTTTTTATTTTTCTCATCATCATTCAGTTTGTTGTCTTTTAAAGTTTTAATCTGAATCATCTCTTTTTATTGATGATTTTATATTGATATCTTGCTGCTTTTTATTGATGATTTTATATTGATATCTTGCTGCTTGCATTTTTGATTTATGACCTTATGGTTGCTTTTCTGGCTTTTTTGGCTTCAATAAAATTGAATGTCATTTGTTTCCTTTTTTCTTTTCTCACATTAAATTCTTTTTTTTTTTAGATAGAAAGCTATCTTAATTAAAACCCATCTTGATTTCTTTGTTTTCTGTACAGCATTAGGTTAGTTAAGTTAGACTATATTAAAAAGCATATTTAACTTGGTTTAAAAGCTGAAATGTTTGCCACAAAGATCATCTTGGGAACTCCTTTTTTTATTAAGCTATTATATTCGGTCCATATTACCATAACAGAAGTTTACAACTGTGTAATAACAACATATGCAATTTTCTTATTTCTTACGGTCTTGAGGAAGAGGTCAAATTACATGACTTGTTTGCTGTCTGGCTCTTGTTAAAAAAGCAGATGGGTGTTCAAATAGTGTTCAAAATAATTTGTTAAAATTTGAGTTTTTGGTCTTGCCAATAAGGTTGATATTTTTGTTGCATCATATTAAAATGAGAATGTCAATGCACAATACGCTAAGCGTTCTTATTCTAATATGATCATTTGTGTCATTTAATGTTGTGAATTGTGATATTTTTTTTCTTTTTTTTTTTTTTTTGCATTCACTCCCAACAAGGCTGCAAGCAACCACTATTAAGTTGGGAGTTACTAGGAAAAAAAAAGAACAGAGTTATAGAGCAAGGAAACGATTGACAGAAGACTTGAAAAGTTGAAGGTTGTATGAGTCAGGAAAACATGAAGATGGGAGAGAGTTCCAAAGGATTGAAGTGCGGGGAAAAAAACTAGATGAATAAAAGTTTTTAGAGCATGCAGGGACAGATACAGTAAACGAATGAGACTTAGCTGAATGACGAGTAAAACGAAAATGAATTTTAGTTGATGGAACTAGAGATGATAACTCCTTTGAGCAGTGACCATGATAGTATCTGTAGAAAAGAGAAAGAGATGCAACTTTACGACGATGGGAAAGAGGTTCAAGCTTAGCAGGTAGTCCAGGTCCAACAACATTTACAATGCGTTTTTGGACCTTGTCAAGAAGAGAAAGTGAATCGTTAGAAGAACCAGCCCAAATATGACAACAGTATTCCATACAGGGACGAATAAGAAATTTGTAGAGGTAGAGAATGGAATCAGAAGTAAGGAAATGGCGAGCATGATAAAGAGAAGCAACCTTAGCAGAAGCTAATTTAGCAATCGATTGTATATATGGTTTCCATGAAAGGTCAGTAGTAAGCGATAATCCAGAAGACGTAAAGAGGAGGACTCAGTAAGAGGATTGCCATTCATTAATATAGGAATGTTGACCATATTACGGTAGTTGTTTGCAGTAAGCAATTGGGTTTTTTTAGAAATGAAACTCACAAGCCACTGTGAACCCCAATCTACCACCGAAGTGAGATCAGATTCAAGATCAGCTGCTTGTTCTAGGCGATCGAAAAGAGAAGACTTTTTGTCAAGACAGGAGTATAAAGTTGAGTCATCAGCAAAAAGAGCTACTTTAGATGAAAGATCGTTTATGTAGATAAGAAACAAAACAGGGCCCAGGATAGAACCTTGGGGAACCCCAGATGTTACTGGAAATAAAGAAGAGTGTTGGCCTTCAAGGATGACTTTAATAAACCGGTCAGAAAGAAATGATTTGATAATCTCAAAAACTTTCCCAGAAACACCATATGAAGCAAGCTTATGGAGAAGACCAGCATGCCAAACTTTGTTGAAAGCTTTAGATATGTCGAGAGCAATAGCCCTAGCCTCACCGCCTCCATCTAATGCAAGATAAAATCTTTCAGTTACAGCAGTTAGCAAGTCGGCCGTAGAGCGAGAGGATTGAAAACCGTATTGGTTGTCTGACAGCAGTTTATTTGACTCAAGATGAAATGTGAGGAATTTGTTGATCAAAGACACAAAGACCTTGCTAATAACAGAAAGAAGACTGATCGGACGATAATTGGAGGGGTCAGAATTTTCTCCAGAGTTTTTGAATATTGGAACCACAGATGCCATTTTCCAACAAGCAGGAAAACAAGACTCAGTCAAACACTTGTTAAATAGTTTTAACAAGTGTTTGACTGAGTCTTGTTTTAACAATTGTAATAACAATTCTGCAAGACTGTGACAGGAATGTTGTCTGGACCTATTAAACAAATATTGTTTAATATAGGAATATTGTCTGCGATAAGATGCGAGATTTAGTGAACTGAGAATAATGGAGTTTAGCATCAGAAAGCACCTTTTTACATCGATTTCTTGCAATAATAAATAGCCGTTTGTTCTCAAGAGAGTTGTTCTTTTGAAAAAGATGAAAAAAATGGTTACGATTGGATATAGCAGCCGCACAAGAAGGAGAAAACCATGGAGTAGAGTGAGGCTTGACTTGAAACCTACGAGAAGGAATAAAAGCTTCCATTCCAGCCTGAATCCAGGAGGTTACGTAGAAGGCGCATTTGTCAGCTGAGAGAGAAAAAACATCAGCCCAAGGACCATCACAAAGAAAATCACGAAAGGAATCCCAATCAGCTTTAGGGTAGTAGTAGGTGGTGCGATGATAAGGTGAGCCCAAAAAAGAAGTACGAGAAGAAAGATTTATAGAGATCATTGCATGGTCAGAACCACCTAAGGGAGAAAAGGGAGAAACTGAACATAAGCTAGGGTCAGAGACAAGACATAAGTCAAGGAGTGAAGGTAAATGATTAGGGTTGTCAGGAAAACGAGTCACAAAGTTAACTATCTGAGTAAGAGATTGAGAAACGCAGAAGTTAAAGGCTTTAGTGCCAGCAGGATCAGTGGTGTTAGAGCCAAGCCATTCAGTGTGATGGGCATTAAAATCACCAAGATATGTCTCAATATCTCATGTATCTCAGTGTAGAATTTTAATTTGTAGAAATTTAAAGTTGGAGGAGCACACATTAGTTAATCATCAATTGGTTAGACCTTGTTCTGTACATTTATTCATTATTTAAAAAGTACCAAATAAAAGAAACAATATCATGTATCTATATAGAAACTGTTAGAAACTATATTACTCAAGCCAAAATCTTTTAAAACTGTCTGCCTATTTTTAAAATATAATTTAAATGCGTAGAACTTTTAATTTTTTTTCTAAACTTTTAGAATTGCAAAAAACTATTGTGTACTTTGGCAAAATAAAAAGTTTGTTCTGAAAATATTTCAGTATAATAAACCAGATTATAAATTTCTCTCAATGTATTTTATTTATATTTTAGAAGTTTGAGTCAACGCCCTTCAAAGGAAGAACTTGAGGATAAAAATATACTAAGAAGTATGTTTTTATATGTTGTTGTTGTTTTTTTGTTTGTTTTTTTTGTTTTTTTGTATAAAAATTTTTGTGTTAATAGTTTGGTTTGCTTATGATTTTGTTAAGTTAATAAGTTGAAGATATTAAAATCTTTCATGCTGATTTTAAAACAACCTTATATAATTTTTTAAGCTCTGTTACTGTGCTCACTGTATTTTTGTAAAATCTGTAACAGTGTTAAATGCAAAAGCTGTAATAGTGTTAAACACAAAATCTGTAACAGTGTTAAACGCAAAAGCTGTAATAGTGTTAAACACAAAATCTGTAACAGTGTTAAACACAAAACAATGTATGCAACTTATCGGATTTTTTTTTTATAAAAGTTTTTAAAATGGTTTTAAGACTTTTAATTCAGTGAAATTTTCACAATTAAAAAAAAAAATCTAATTCACTTTAAATAAGGCTGCAAGCAACCACTAATAAGTTTGAAGTTGAAAACAAAGAATAAAGCTCAAGAGCAAGGAAACGGTTGACAGAGGAGTTGTAGATGTAATTTGTAGATGTACATTTGATTAAGATATAAAAATATAAAATTGGAAATTTAAGAAGAAAAATTTTAATATGTTTAAATTGTAAAATCAATTTTAAACCAATAAATGTTGCTCATAAACTTTAATCAACCTTGTTTGTCTCTTTTATCATATCATATCTTTTTACATATATTTTCAATTATAATATGGAAATATATATATATATATATATATATATATATATATATATATATATATATATATATATATATATATATATTATTTTTAATCCAATATTAACTATGAATATATTTAATATTGTATTTTCATTTTATCTCTTTGTATCTCTTTATATATGTCGTTTAATTCTAACTGAAACCAGAGGTAATAGAATTCTATAGATAGATGTTATATCAGATCAGAGAAAACATAAAGGAGACTAGTTGGTTGTAGAAGCAATTAGTGAAATATTGAACTTTCAGCAGAGCCTTTCTGCAGAAAGTTCTAGAAACTGTATGGAACCTTTTTAAATCGTTATGTTAATTTTAATTGGGGTTTTTCTGAATCACATAGGAGTTTTTGCAATGTATGCGTTTTTTTAACAAAAAAGTAACAATTTGAACATTTTGAATAAAATTTTTTTGAAAATTCCAGTCAGAAACTATTTACTTTTATTTCCTTTCTTGCCATTTTTTATTTTATTTATTAATAGTTGCTAAATTTTAGAATTTGTTTATGGGTTGGCCAATTTTTCATATGGCTAAAAATGGTTCATATGTTCCTTAACATACTCTAGTATCAATTTACTACTCCATGTTCTCATCCCATCTTAGCTATTGTTGTATTGTTTGGGGCAACAAGGAAGTTATCTATTAAATCGTATAAACAGTTTGCAACGTGCTTCCATAAGAATTATGACATTTTCCCCTATTCAATCTAATATCCAAAAAAGGTTTTCTGAATTAAAAATATTACAATTTCAAGATCTTATAAAGCTTTTCAACTGTCTTTTTGTGTTTGATTTCCTCCAAAATAATCTGCCGGGTTCGTTTAACAATTTTTTTCATTAAAGCAAGTGATACACATAAATACTATATTTGTATTACTATAAATGGTAATTTGCGTCCTTCTTTTTTCAATACTGTCAAGTATGGCAAGCTCTCCATAAAACATCAATGTATTTTTCACTGAAACCAATTAATACTTTTTATTAAAAAAAAAGATTTTAACTAAATACTCTTTTGTTACTAACTTTCTTCTTCTCAATAGAAACCTAATTAAGAAATTTTTATGTGAGCAATTATCTAAAGAATATATTATTTAATTACACTTATTTTTATTTTTTTTATTTTTTTTATTGCTTTTATTATTCTTTACATTGTTACTACTACTATTTTTATTATTGTTATTACTATTATTATTTATATATCTTTGTTTTTGTTACCTTAATATTATTACCTATAATGATAGTCAAAGTAGTTCAATAGTTGCAGTAGCTTTACCATTATTGTTATAACTATTCTTTAAATTGTTTATTTTATAATTATTAACTATACTATAATTATCTTACTATTGCTTTATCATTTATAATTCTTTTTACGTTGTTATATTGCAGTTATTATTTTTTTTATTTTTATTCATATTATTGTTACTATTATTATTTTTATAAATATTACTTTTAACTTTCTTTTCCTCTTTTATTTTTTAAATCTTCTTTATTGCTATTGTTGCTTATCTTTCTTTCCTTTTTTCTTTTTCTTTTTTTTTTAGGTGTCACTCCATTAACTAGTTTTCAACTATATGAGTGACACCTAACCTTATTTATGTAAATTTATAATTTATTATTGTAATTTTTCATTATTTATGGTTAAATAAATGGAGAGAGAAAAAAAAAAAAAATTATATTAAATCAAAGTTTTTTATTTGTAAAAATGTTGTAAAAAATGTTGTACAGAGTTTTTTTTTTATTATTTTTAAAAAATAAAGTGGGCTAGCATGAAAAAAAAATTAAATAAAAATATTTGTTATACAATAAAACACAAACTGGCAAAAGTATGAACCATAGTTCTAACAACTAATTTACAATCTGCTTCAGAAGAAAATAATTTTCTGGGCTTTACTCATAGCGATATTTAAAAATATAATTGCAATGAATTTGCAAAATCCCTTTGTTACAACGGCTTCATTGTAGCACCGAGTTTTTGCAAGATCATTGAAATAACTAGAAGATTGGGGAACTGGTCATAACTATTGATCTTAGCAGTGTCTTAACTAGAGCAAGTTTACTGAACCTTTTTGGTAGATAATAAAGTCTTTTTCCACCTTATTCTGATAGATTTGTCCCAAGGTTTTGTATTTTTCCTATAAGTTTGTTTCAATTTCTTTTTTCGTCATTTGGGTTACTATTAGTTTTTGAGAGCCATTAGAATGAGAATGTGTTTGTCGTTTTTCCTGCAGCTTGAAATCGTGGATGATATATGTTGAATAAGAGTATTGAGAGGAGTGTTAACTATGTTTGAAACCTGTTTTTCTTTGTTTTCATGGAAATAAAGTTGCTTTTCTGGCTTCTTCATGAATGATCTTCCTTTTTCTTGTCCTCTTTTTGACAAAGTCTTATTGAAAATTAAAAGATTGCAGACAATCTGAGGCAATTAATGTGATTTATTAATAAAGCTGGCCAAAAAAAATAGCAGTTTGGTGACATCCTCAATAAAAGTCTACAACTTTCATCTCATCATTTAAGAAGATGTTTTCTGATTAAAGTGAAAGACTGACACATTTATTGCTTGAACGATCTTTGGCTGGCACATTTATTGTTCACAGTTTTCCATAATCAGCTTGGCAACATCTGCACCTATCTTTTTTTTAGACAATTTTAATTCTGAAAAAGTAGTAAATACAAACTCTATATAAACCTCATGAATGATGGACAATTTCTCCACATCCTTTGATGAACTAATTTTGAGATTCCAACCCAAATAATGAGCATTTGTTTAACTTTTTTTTTTGGCATCAGGTAACTTTTAGGTGTAAATGAAAGGTCTTGTATAGACTTAGTAGAGTAGAGTGGCTGTAAAGAAGTGAGAAAGTTGTTGTTGATGTCATCACTAATTCAAGCCACTAATCTATTCTGTTGTCATCACCAATCAATTTTGAACCTGAAACAAGATTTACTGCATGATTCTTTTTTTTTTTTTTAATATTAATTTACCTCCTCGAGGCCGAGAAGGCCACTACAGATGAGGAGGCTACTTAATTGTGGTTATAACCCTTTCTCAACTCTATAACTCCAAAACACAAACCTTGACAAACAAAGCCGCTGCGCAGAGAAACAAGTTGAGCGCTGTACTTCCAGGGACCTGGTGGAGATCAAACTCAGAACCTAGAAAAGAGTTATAAGAGCTGCAAGATGCGCTGTAGAACTTTGTGTCACCTGGCTGATTTTATTTTTGATTTTTCAAGACTTGGAACCAATCCCAATTTGATGCTTTCTTGCTTCTAAAAAGAGATCACAAAAAATTAATAATTTTAAAGTCGCAGTAGCACTTCTGTGCTTTACAAGATTTTATAAGACATGTTTGCCTCCCATCCTATAAAAAATAATTTCAAAAATTTCAAGATGTCAAGATTTATATAACAACATTATATTGGGGAAGTCATATTTGAAAATAAGGTCACAATTTGATGACAAAACCTTAAATTAGGTTCATCATTTGGCAATGCCGACCTAATTGCTGACCTATAAATGTTTGAGATTGGGAAAAATTGCCGATCTCAGTTCATTGTTTTATGGTAACCCCCTTGTGTCTAATTTTTTTGGCGACCACTAACAGTTTAAATTTTGGCAATTTATAGCCGATCTCATTTTTTCTAATTTTGAGGGCCGGATTTTTTTTTTTCCGTATTTGCTGTACTTGTAGCTGCATTCTTTCTAACTTGAGAGCCAGAATCTTTTTTCTAGAAACTGGGCATGTTTTGTTTGTAGTCAAGAACCAACAACCAATCAATAACTTTGTTGATGATCTTTTAAGAATAAGAGCTCAATACAGTTTCATAATTATATATTGTTATATTATACTTACAACTTTTGATTACACCTTACAAAAAAAGTGTATTATCAATCTTGAATTTAAAGCACATAATTTACATAAAAATGTTTATATTAAGGTTATAACTTTTTGATACCCCCAATTTAAAAACCTTATGAAAAATAGGTGAACTTTGATTTGAAAGTAACTCAAAAGTCGTTGCTTTTATTTACTTTCCCAAAAAGGTCTGTCATCATGTGTAATGTTTTAGTTAAAATTAATTTTATTTTTAGTTTTTTCTCACTACTCTATATTTTAATACATTTAAACAAATTAGCTTTTAAAATGATAAAATTATTTTGTGGAAAACTAAAGTTATACTTATAATAAACAAATCTTTTTTGAATAACCACAAACATCTTTGGATATACTTTAAGAAATATAGATATTGAAATAAAAATGTTTAAAGAAAGTAACTTATGTAAAAAAAAACTTATGTAAAAATTTTTATATAATGTAAAAGTTACTTATGTAATGTTATATAAGCAAATATCTTCTTTTTTTTTTTTTAATAGAGCTTTGAAATGTTGAACAGTTATTTATACGACTTTTTCACATAATTTTTATTATCAGATTTTAAATTAGTACTTATCAAAACTATCTGATGTTTTTTAACTTTATTCTGCATATTGCATTGTAATTCATATTCCTGTTTTTACATATCATCTAGGACTATTCTCATCAGGATTCATTAGCATTAAAAGAAAATTATTAAGAATAAATAAATATGCAACTGTTTTATTTATATTTTTTTCCCTATTATTTTTAATATTATTATTATTATTACATCACACTATTAAAAATTACTGAAAAAACATAATTTCATGACCAAACACATTTTTTAATTTTTTTAGTCGAAATATTTGAAGACATTGTTCTGAATAATAAAAAAAAATTTAAAAATAATAAAAAAAGACATTGCTCTGAATAATAAAAAAAAATCCCAGAAGTTCTTTAAATGATAAATAAATATCTACAAGTTTTCTTTTTGTTGTTTTATTGGTGGAGTTTCTTGTGACTCGTTTTAATATGTATAGTTTTATAATTAAAAATAGTCCTAAATAACAAAAATGTATAAAACTACGCTATAATTTGAGTGCCTTTTTTTTTAAATAGTTATTATTTTTTCTCTATATTTTGACATGCAAGACATTTCTTAATAAAGGTTCTTCGAGAAATTTATTTAAAAAAAGAACTTTACAAGTAAATTTTTTACCTCCGTTAAAAAGGTTTAAATAAACAAAAATTTCTTAAAATCTTTTTTTTTTAATACTTCTCTTTATTTTTGATATTTTTAAAACAATTTTAAAAAAGTTTGGTAAATAAAAAATCTTCACCTTACTGATGGTTATTTTTCTATTAAAATAATTTTTTTTTTTTTTTTTTTTTTTTTTTTTTTTTTTTTACAAATAATTTTTTTATGTCAAGAATTGATTTTCTACTAAAAGAAGTTGTTTTTTTTTAAATACCTTTTTTTGTTAAATCGCCTACGAATACCTTTTTTTGTCAAATCTAGTCTAATATCTTTTTTTGTTTAATCTAGCCTACGAATTTCTACAAGAAATTATTAGCATCTCTTTCTTTCAATTGGAAACAAAAAACACAAATCATTGTGTGTAATAATAATCATGTTTAATTCAAAAAAATTTTGTGTAGCTTTTTTATTTCTAATTAATACATGAGAAAATATTATTTCAAACATTTCAACAAGCTTATTTAAGATATACAACCGAAATTAAATTTTATTTTAAAATAAATTATTGACGAAGAATTATTCTCCGTAATAATCCTTGCGTTATGGAGCGATGACGTAATTCATTAATATTCAAAAAAAATGATGGTGGTTAAGTTCGCATTTAGCAAAAATTAATTTCATATAGCCTTTATGCGCATGTTTTATTAATCTTTCAATTGCCGGAGATTTATTAATTCATATTTTGTCAATAGTAAACAATCTATATGAAAGTCACCTTATAAAAACATTAAGGAACATTATTAATTTTTAATCAGGTGGAAAAATAAGATTTACAACAAAGAAGATAAAAGTAGGAATTTCAAAGCGATCTAATATTATTTTGGTTATCGTGCTAAAGTTGAAAGCGGCGTGATTTTTGGAATTGTATTTTTTTGTTTAAAAAAAATTTCGTGCGTTTTATTTCAATAGCTTTTTTATTATAATTAAGAGTATACATATATGTTATAAAATAGATTTCTTGAATGTTGATATAAATCAATTTTTTAAAAGAGTTCTCGATAAAGACTTTTTTTAAATATATATGATTAGTTTTTTCCGTAAAAATAAAACTTGGGCGGGAAGACAATCCTCCTAAGATGCTTTGATGAGGAAACATACATGGGCATGAACTTATCATCATATCGCTACGATCATCTTTATTATAATGCCTTTTCCTTTAAAGTTTATTGTGTTTTAATTTCAAATTTAATATCAGGTAAGTCAAAGAAGAATTTTGAAATAATTTCATTTTTACTTAAAATTGTTTAATGCGTTGTTTTATTTTTATTTTTATTGTAGCACAAACAAGCGAAGAAGCAAATTTGAAATTTAACGAAACCCGTCAGAGATTGTCCAGAAAAGCACGTTGAATTTTTTTTTTAAATTAATTTCTTGAGTCACTAAAAAGAATGTTGTTGTCAATAACTAAATTTTTTCTTTATTTAAATAAAATTTTTGAATTTTTTAGCTGAGTCGTCGACCTACAGTCAAAGAACTTCGTAAAAAAAAGATTATCGGTTTTAATGAGTATGTTGAAGTATTTGACGTGCAAGAATACGATCGCAGGTAGTCATTGATTCAGAATATTTAGAATATATATGGAAGTTATATCCAATCTTTGGAATGCGGGGGAATTTTTTTAAATTTACCAGTTTTAAAAATCTACATTAATATTAATTTAAGTATTTAAGACTCATCTTTAAAGTTCATCGCAGTTTAAGAACCACTGTTTTGAATAAATAAATGTATTTTGAATAAAAAACTTAAAAAAAAAATGAAAACAAGTAATAAAAAGTCATAATACCATTATTGTTTTACTAATAACTTTTTATAACAGAGCTGATAAACCTTGGACAAGATTAACACCGAAAGATAAGGCATCTATACGCAAGGAATTAAACGATTATAAAGAAAATGAAATGGAGGTTCACGAAGATAGCAAAATTTACACCAGGTAAGTTATTTGCATTTGCTTAAATATTTCAGATTTTGAGTTTAATGATTTTGAGTTTTATAATTATTTAAAAAAAGTTAGTTACAAATGTATTTTTTTTATTATTGTTTTAGATTTCACAAGCCATAGTTTTGTATCCACAATGTTACCATAGAAAACTTTTGAATGCGCAAGTTTGCGTTTTATTGCAAAATAAACCCGTTATATATTTCTATTTTGTTTAATATTGTATATTGTTTTTTTTACAATTTTTGAATAGGTAATTCGTGATTTTATTATATTGACTTTTAAATTAGCGTGATGCTTAACGCTGTTAGTTTTGCCGTCATTTAATGTTTTTTGTTTTCGGTTCCTATAAAGCATTCACTTTTTATTTAGGACCAATTTTTCTTTTATGTGCTATTTGATGGCATTTTTTCTATATTTAAACCTCCATTAAATTTGTAAATATGAAACAATGATACTATTCTATGCTTTTATATTGCTTTTTGTCTCTTTCAAATTTTTACCCCCTGCCAAAATTTATATAATTAAATATTTTTATTAGTTATATTTTCATTAACAAGCTTTTTCTCTAAAACATTATGTATATATATATATATATATATATATATATATATATATATATATATATATATATATATATATATATATATATATATATACATGTATATGTATATATATATTCTTTTTTTAAATACAAAGGGTTGTTTGTTTTTTGATAGCAAGAGTAATTTAAGAAAAGATCTATAATTTTATAATCATTTGACACAAAACAATGGCACTGGGTTAAAAATTTTTTGTAAATCATGATTCTTTAAGTTATAGATAATGTTTTATATGATGCAATTATATGCCTCAGTCAAATTTTGTGCTTTATCTCCTTTTATTTCTTATCCTTTTAATGTATGTCAAAAAGATCGAGGAAGTTTACGCCACTCTGGGGCAGAATAACTTAAAAACTACACAAAAATGATTTTTTGTTTTGTTTTTGATTTTTAAATTAAATAGTTATTTTGAGGGCACTTGTAAGACTTAGGAAAAATTACTTCATAGATTTTTAAACATTTATAATTGTCAGACGTTTTTAATGTATTTTCGAGTAATTTCGAGTAAAGTTTTCTAAAAAACCGGTAAGTGGTAATAGAAAAAAAAAGAAAATCAAAAGCTTGTATGAATAAATAATATTAAAACGTATTCTAATTGATTCACTAAAATGAATTACAGTAAATCGAATTTAATGTAAAAAGTTACTCGAAAACTAGATTAGTTTTATATAAATTTGCTAAAAACAAATTTCAGCCATAAAAAAAAGTACGTCATTAGTTCATGGGTTTATGACCTAGTTTTGTTACTTGGTTTCTACTGATGTAATTGATTTATACTAATACATTTATAATAAAAAAAGGCTCAATAAGTGCAACAACAACAAGAAAATTTTGCAATCTGTAATCATCAGCAATTTAAAAAAAAAAAACAAATTTGAAACTGTATTTAAGTGAGGACATAAACTGTATTTAAGTGAGGACATAAAAAAATGCGTTGTTTGAAAAAATTAAATAAAAATAAAATATTTAAATGCACTTTTTTTAAAGACCTAATAATATATATTTTAAGGACTTTTTTCATTAGCAAAAGATAGCTGCAAACCTAAAATTGAAGGATCCCTTAACTATAAAAGCAAAGCAGTACTGATTCTTTTTAAATTCTTACTTCTCTCATTCAATTCTTTTTGAACAAAAGATTTGAGCTAAATTATGAATTCTACAGAAATAAAAGTCAGTCCTACCCTAAAAACAACGCTTGGATGATGAACCAGAGGCTCTTTTATACATTACCACCAAAAAATGTTTCATTGCGTCTTTTTTACCACGTTTTTATTAGCTCGCTTTCTTGTTTATTTGTTTGTCCGGGTGGAATTTTGCAACTCAATTTTAACCCACTTTTCGATTAGCTAGAGCTCTGAAACTTTTACTATAGCTCAGAACCCGATGACAATGCAATATTATACTACTTTTACCATGATTTGCCGAGATTTTTGATTAATTTCAGCAAAATAAAATTTATTATGGCGAAACTTTTGAAGGCGTCGCCGCAATTTGACGCGTCGCTTTAAATAAAAAATTTTCGAACAAAAAACCAAATTTAACTGTCGCTGTGATTTTAAATGGACCGCAGCATAAAGACAAAATCAGTTGTTTACAAAATATAAAAAATAATAAAATAATATAACAAATAAAAAAAACTTTTTATAAAACCACGTTTTTGTAATGAACTAAAAAGTAGAAAATAATTTTCTCTTGTGGCTATAGAAATTTTTGAAAATTAATTAAGAGTTGATAGTAAGTGACATGAAAACTTTTGATTATGAACTCTTAATAATTACGATAATATTTGTAAAATTTTAAACGAAAAACGTGGAGCGCATTTAACGAAAAAAAAGAACAGAAGAAGGAAGCAATAGTTAAAGTAATTAAGGACGATGATAATCATTTAAAGTGACAAGATGCGCACCACGTTTTTCGTTTAAAATTTTACAAATATTATCGTAATTATTAAGAGTTCATAATCAAAAGTTTTTATGTCACTTACTATCGACTCAATTAATTTTCAAAAATGTCTATAGTCACAAGAGAAAATTTTTTTCTACTTTTTAGCTCATTACAAAAACGTGGTTTTATAAAAAGTTTTTTTATTTGTTATATTATTCATTTTTTTCAAATGTTTCGCTTTGAAGCAATTCTGCCCTATTGTGCGCTACCATTTTAACAAAGCGAGTTATTAGTTTTTTTTTAGCGAAATGAGTATTTGTTTTGTTTACTACTGAAGAATTTTAATACACTTCTAAATATAATTCCAACATCATATAAATAATCATAAAATGTTTTGAATTAGTAAAACTTAGACCTGCTAAGGTTAATAAGATTGTTCCATCCAAACTAGTTAATCTGTTAAGTTAGCTAAACCTATTTAATACCTATTTTTGCTTTTCAATTAAAGTTTGCAAGTATGTGTCTTAATATGAGTTTTAATACTTCTTTTTTTTTTGAGTGCTAAAAAAACATAAAAATAATACTAAAAAAACATATTAGCCCTAAAAATGATTTATATAAACTTTAAAAGATTTAAATGATAAAACTGCTCAATGCTTTTAAATAACTTAAACATTATGTATAATTTAAGCACTGTGACTTTTTTTTTAAATTTTCTTAATTTTAAAACAGGTACAATAAAACTAATCATTACCATTAGTTGTGAACTTATTATAAACAATAGATTGCAACTAATATAGTCAATATGAACTAATTATAACAAATAGATTATATTGTTATGAACTAATTATAACTAATAGATAGCAACTAATATAGTCAATTAATTTATTTTTTATCTATTTTATTTTATCAGTTCTCCATTTTTTTCCCTCTCTTTCTTTTTGTTTAAAATCTTTTCTCGTTCATTTTACTTTTACTTCCTCTCTTTACTTGTTTCGGTATTGCTTGATCGTGCTAAATAGTGATAATTAGAAAACAAGTAGTCTGGTCTTGAGTCATTGTTGATCTTAGATTTTAGCGCTGTCTTATCTAGACCAAGCTTACTGAACGACAGCTCTATCTTCGGCAACGGTAACAGGAGTCGTGTTAGAAATGCGTAGCAAAATGCATATTGATTCAAAGAGAGACTGAAAATCTTTCTGATAGATCCTAATCAATAACTTCATCAAAGTGAAAAGTTCTATCGGACCAAAAAAATGGCTCGCTTCAGAGTGTCCAGATGACAAACCTCTCAAAAAAGTTTCTCTTCATCCCCATTATTTACACATTTTTGCTTCAAAGTTTTTTACTCCAATCTATGAGAACGATAAAGATGAACTGAACAATTTCTTCTCCGAGCTACTTCTTTTTCACTTGACCTGCATTTAGATATTAAAAGCTATGCGAACGAAAAACTGTTTTTTGTTTTCTAGGGCCTAAAGTCTCTAAATTTTTAATTTGGAGTATCGAGAGCGGAATTGGAGTATCGAGAGCAGAATCGAGTGACTTTAACTACTTCTCTTCATTTTTGTGGAAAAAAACCCTTCGTTTTTGGTTTTTTGTAAAAGTTCTTTTTTTTATTATTCACTTTTTGATAAAATTTTGATTGAAAACCATAACGTGTTGACATGAGTTGACATGAGGCACTCAAATGTACTATATTAATGAATTTGGGCCAAAAAGATCTAAATTCGATGAGATTCTTGATAAGAGTCTTCTTAAGTTTCATCTCATCACCTTAGGAAATGTTTTCTGATTGAAGTGAGACGCTGGCATTTATTGCTTAAAGAGGATTGAACCAAAAAGTTTCAATCAAATATATAACTTTTATTAAAAAGATTATAGAGTAATTGGACCTGACTAAAATAATTCTTCACTTTGACGGAAGATTCAATGGAATGAATACCGGCAATGTTAAGGTTATGAACGCTGCATGGCACGTAAAGAGCTTAACGATTCTTCTAAAATTTAATTGTTTGTACTCATCAGAAATATTGGTTCGGTTGGCATATCCTTGACCTTCACAGATTTTAAAATTAATATCATGATGATCCAAAATGCCCATTATTACCTTTGCAAATACATTTCTTTTTTTTTCGAGATTGTCAAACCTGAAAAAACACTCCTTAAATAACCATCTTTTACCAGCAGCTTTATAAAAAAAACCGTAAAATGTGATTTGCTCAGTATAAAAGATGTCCTTAACAAGAATGAAATAGTAAATTGTGGCATGAATCTCTTTAATGATAGCACCGTGGACAATTTCTCCGCTCTTTTCGATAAATTCATTTTGAGAACTTTAACCCAAATAATGAGGATTAAGTTTTTACATTCTTATTGGCGGATAACTTTTTCTAAATGTAAATGAAAGGGTTCTTTTTGTTTTTTATAATCAAAGCAACCCTTATAAATATTTTTCAAGCAACTGGTTCAACTAGTCTTGCACTCCCGTTTATAAATTTGACTGATGCTATATTGTTATATATTGTTGAGATCTGAACTGATATCTTGTAAATAGTGGGCAATTTGGGTAAAAAAGCAACTTAAATTTTAATATAAGAAGTTTGACAAATGAAATGACATTAATTTCATTGATATAATGAAATGACATTAATTTCAATTTCATAAATGAAATTAATGTCTTATTAAACTATTTTAATAAAGTAAAAAAAACAATATAACCACTGTGCGCTCCTTCTGATTCTGCACCCGGGTACAAAGTACCCAGTCAATCCACCTCGTGGTGGCTTTGTTAGTAAAAATTTGTTTATTAACAAATAAATATTTGTTTATTTGTTAATAAACAAATAAATAAATGTTTATCATTTTTATATTTACAGACCTAATTTGAAATATTTGAAGCTTGTATTTGAAGATATCGTGCAAATTACTTTACAGTTTGTTAATAAATTTGATAGTAAAAGTTAGTGATGTCATATCATGAATAT